ATTAATATATTAAACATTAAAAAATAATTCTAACTCAATGTCATTCAGTGACTAGCTTGCCCTGCTTTGGTCAAAAGACACTGTGCTATGTGTTAGTCACATATCTGTAATCTGTATAACTCATTTCTTAAAGTACCTCTGAAATAAAATTGCTATAAACTAGGTTATCTATTGACTTAGATTTTTATATTATGGTCTTTCCCATCTCAAATTTATTTCTCAAGAACCCAAATAAATAAAAACTGTGAACTGTTTTATCTCTTTTAGAATCTACTAAGTTAAACATATAGAAAAGTTTAAGGGGGTAAGTAAAACTTATTTTAGCTCTGTGGTTGTGAATAAAGCAAGTGCTTCACAATAATATTATGTACAAACTGGACAACAAGTGGCCCTATCAAGTGTTACCCCTTCAAAATAGTTCTCTAACCTACAGTATCAAAAAACCTAAGTTAGGTATTCAAATGATTATGACAGAAAATTACAGGTTTAAATACAGAATAAGTTGGCAGGTATAAAAGCAAACAAATACTGAGATTGAGACAAATAATATATGAAATCCCTTAAAACTGTAGTCCCCAACCCTCAGGCCATGGCCCGGTAGGAAACGGGCTGAACATCAACACCTGAGCTCCGCATCACACACAGTCCTCAACCCCAATCCCTGGAAAAATTGTCCTCCATGAAACTGGTCCCTGGTGCCAAAGAGATTAGAGACCGCTGCCCTAAAAGACACCCAATTATAGTCTTAAACAAAAAATACCTCTAGATTCACTATATTACTGTTTTAAGATCCAGCAGGGATCAAATCATGGTACATAGGCCAAATCTAGCCTGTGACATGGCTGTGTAAATGAAGTTTTAATGGAACACAGCCATGCACATTCAGTTACACATTGCCTACGTTTTCATGATACAAGGGTAGTGCTGAGTAGTCATAACAGATAGTGCCGAAATATTTACTATCTGGCTATTTACAGAAAATGTTAGCCACCTTAACAGCACTTAATATTGTTTGAAATCTATTTTCTCTCTATGAATAGTGTGGTATGAGTATTATCGAAGAGCCAAGAAATGTGGATTCAAATCCCAGTTCAGCCACGAATTAGCTGTGCAATTCTGAGCAAGTTACTCTTCTTTATGATAATCCTCTGAGGCTGTCACAAACTGGTTAAGACAGGATGATTATCTTGGCCAGTGGTATCAAACTTCACTGCAAATCACAATCATTTGAAAGGCTATTAAAAAGATTCTATGTCTTGCCCCCACTTATTAAATCAAAACATTAGGGAATAAAGCCCAGAAATCTGAATTATTTGTTAAATAATTCAGGTGATTTGGAAACAACCAGTGCCTCAGTATCAGTTCCACAAATCAGCATCTGTGAACCAAAAAGTATAACCCTGTATGTTTGAAAACAAGGACCATGAGGTCTAATGTTGAGTGAAAATGAAGTATTTTGAAACCCCCTTTAAAAATATTTACTTATAATTATAAAATGTATTAGGTTGAATCATAGGAACTTGCTATTATTTAACCATTTTTATCTACAAAAATGGCAATTTAATATGCTTTTACCTAAGTTTTCTTTGGTAACCACATACTGTATTAGATTGCTCTACATTCACCTAAATAGTCCTAAGTGGACAAAAACTTGATTTTCACATGCTCTAAAAATCTTGTCTTGCTTCATTTTTATTTATTCAATATAGGCAACATTTACTCCTCCTTAAAGAAAATAGCCAATTATACAGACATTGTTGGTATACAAAATGTAATAAAATGAATAATGAAATTCAGGTATCTCTTTATTACAACGTTAGCTTTACATATGTAGCACCTAAAACACAACATTTAATGTGTCTAACAATGAGTGGTTGAAGAAGTATAAATATTATGTAATAGAAAATTGCACAGGTGCTTAAAAAGGATGATATACATAGATTAAGTAAATAAAAGTTAAATTTGTATATAGGTATACACAGACCAGTGGTTCTCAACCTCAGCTGCACATTAGTTAAAGCTCCTGAGGAGTTTTAAAAATGCCTCCCTGTTCCACAAGGTTTTAATTTAATTCTTCTATAGAACAGAAGCACTGGCAGCTTTTAAAGCTCTTCATGTGATTCTAATAGTAGCCAGAGCTGAGAACTACTAATATGACTCCATTTTTGATTAAGAAAAGTTACATGCATGCATTAAAAGAACAATTTAGAAGGATAAACACCAAGTTGTGCTGATCATCTCAGGGGGCTGGCATTATGAAGGCTTTTTACTTGCTACTTTACACACTTGTGTTGTCCAAAGTTGCTACAACTAGCACATATTATATTTTCATAATAAACACCAAGACATTATTGTTCATCTTATAAACTGATTCAAAAAAATTTAATGGCAAGGGTGTAGAACAACGGGAATTTTCATATACTTCTTGTGCGAATATAAACTGGTACAACCACTTTAGGACCCACCAAATGTTTAAAATAGCATTATTCTTAACAGTCGGAAATTGAAAAGAAAGCAAATAGCAATCTGCAGAATAAATTGTGGTGCACCCATACAACGGAATATCATAAAGCAATGAAAACCTCAATACCCCACAACATGGATGAGTATTATAACATAATATTGTGCAAAAGAAACTACGAATAAAGGGATACTGTATGGTTTTATTTTACAAAATTCAAAATAGTCAAAATCATTCTATAGTGTTATAAGTCAGGACAGTAGCTGTCTTTGGGGAGAAGGAAGGGAGCAATGATCACAGAAGGGAGGGATTTCAGGTACAGCTTACGTGGCAGAATTTTTAACTACACACCTATGACTTATGTACTTTTACCCTATGTGTACTATGTGCTAATTAAGTTTTTTAAAAATTGATAAATACATATGTAAATTGACTTCAGGATAAATGATAAAGGAAAAATTAGTAAAATTAACCAACTTAAAAGAAAATTTGTGAAAAAAGAAAACTTGTAAAAACACAGACTATTCATTCTCTAAGAACTCTGTGGTAATATGGTTATGCGATAATGTTTAAATAAAAGCGACTAGCACCAACTTGAGAAGAGCCATTGTTGGCAACATCAAATTCTTCCTGTTTTCTACAGGCTTCTGCAAGGGCCACTCTGTGAACAGGGTCCCAGATCTTTTCCTTCCGTTCTTTCTGCAAGGACATAAAAATTAACCTTACAATTAGGCTGACAAATAGTCAGGTAAACCTAGACAGTTATTTATATGCAGATCTTGTTACCTGTTGTGATGCTACACTATTCTCATAAAGATTTTTAAAAAGTGTTTCTAATGAAGTAGATAAAGCAGTGGGATCAATTATTAAAAATTGGTTAGTTAACTCATCATATCTAGGTTTTAAGATGTTTACCAAGACACATCCAAATGTATTTTTATGTATCATATTTCCCAATTTAAATCCTTCCTTTTTCCAAGAATATATAGTACCATATCAGAAAACTGATTAAATTTCCAGTCACTGAAAATAAGAAAATACTGTATTCCGGGCCCATACAAAATTGGAAAGTGTCATAAGTCAAGGGCAAGCCAAGGACTAGAGTACAACTGCAGCTGCACTGATAGACATGCAGGCTTCCTCAACTTCCTCCCTCTCTAGGTTATTTTTTTTCCCATGGTCTTTGACTTGATAGGGTTCTATGCTACTAAAATTGGTCTTAACCTTTATTTCCAGTGTCTTTAGTCCATGGTGACTCCCAATGGAAATTTTCTACTTAAAGGAATCCTTTCCAGTATTAATAAAATAATCAACTCAGCTAATGTATACAAAGAGTCAACTTTCACTTATATTTACATGCTAATTATATCTTGTCAATGCAGCTGATTAAATTTAATACAGTGCAGAATAATGCTATCTGTCTGTGTATTTCAGCCAGAAATTTAAAAGACAACATAGTATCCAATTAAAGTTAAGTTACAGGCATTGAAACTGACAAATAAAGGTTAAATATGTAATCTACTGAGTAACTTCTTATGGTTGATAGACCCCTGGGGAAGCAAACAATATAACAATACCGGGATCATATGAAAGGGCCCACAAGTCTTATTCATTTTCAAGGGTTACATCTTACCCTACAGTTGAAACACAGGACTTATACCAGCTACTAGTGTTACTGCAGTCCTTTAAAGAGGCACTGTCCAATATGGTAGTCACTAGCCACATGTTGCTGTTTAAATTTAAAAATATTACGTAAGACTAAAATTTTAATTCCTTCATCCTACTAGTCACATTTCAAGTTTTCAACAGCTACTGTGGCTGGTGTCTACCATAACAGAGCAGACAATGAACACTTGAAACATTTTCCATCATCACAGAAAGTTCTATTGAACAGCACTGTTTTAAATCAGGGTCCTTATTGCTCTACTTATAACTCTTATCTTTCTAATGACAAACTTGTGTTTCTTACACTTCAGCAGTTTAGGTCTGATTAACCCTTTCTTAATATTGAATGATGACTAACTGGGAGCAAGAAGGCTAAATAGCAAAAAAATCAAAAACAGGACAAATTATCATGGAAACTATAAAAACAGAAATAAGGAGGTCTGGACTTTAAATCAACTGTCTTTAGCTTTTTTCAAGTAAGTCCTTTAAAAATCCAATGAAAGCTATATCCCATCTCCCAGAAAAACACAAGTACCTAAAAATTTGAATATAATTTCAGTGTGCTCATAGATTCCCTAAGCTTATCCATGTATTCAAGATTAAGAATCACTAATTTAAATGGATAACATTCCATTGAACAGAATCCTTAAGCAGTCATTGTTTGAAAGTCATTCAGCCCCCTTAATAAGATTTTATGAAAAATTCCTTTTTCTTCAGTGGAAATAAAACCTGAGGAAGAAAATATACAAGTCATTGATACCAGGTTGTTATATTACCTGTATCCTTTCCTTGAGAGCCTTAGGGTAGAAGTCATAACCATTTTTTATGCCAATATGATATTTGCCTGAGGGATTTGTCCAGCTTGCAGGAATCTATAGAAAAAAAGGTAAATTGTTCATTCACACATTCTTCTCAATTCCAATGATACACTACTGAGAAAAAAGTATTTTAATTCTACTCTAATAGCTCAACATGGATAATACTAGAGCAACATTTTTAATACTCTATGTAGTCACTTAATATCTTTCTTCTTTTTTCTCACCCACAAATAAGATGGTTCAACTAGAATAATACCTTTCCTTTACACAATGCTTCAGTCTATAAAATGCTTTCAACATACACTACCTCATTAAACCGCTCAGATCATTAGTTCTTAAGTATCAATGACACCTCAATTTCCCTTCCACCACTCTACCACCGGCCAAATGGCTGGGAGAGGAAGAAGCAATTTACAGAACCTTCTCTATGCTTAGATTTCCTGTTAAGAAAAAGAACTTCACTGTCCTCTACACCACGACAGGGATAATGCACAGATACTAAACAAAAGCTCTTTGAATTCTTAAGAAGAAAACTCATTTTAATTATATATAACATCTTATAATACTATTTTTAACTCTTTCAAAGTATTTAAAAACACCACTTAAAGCTTTTGATTAACAGAGTGATGAAAGAGCATGCCCAGTTTGCAAATAGAAAGCAAAGCAGCAAAGACAAATTAAATTACTTGCCCCAACAACAGGAAGGTTGAAAACTGGAACCTAGTTCTATCATGAAGACCAAAGTTTCAGTGTAAAGGATATGCGACTGCAAGTCAGATAAATGTGGCTGTGAATCCAAACTCTATCACTAACTAGGGGGACCCACAGGCTTCTACTTCTTAGAAAGAAAATAATCTTCCTTGGGAAGAAAATAATCCCTATCTTATGATTCTTGTGAATAACGAAATGCACTGAGCATCAACAAACTTGAAATGTCAATCGAGAATATGCAGAATATTCATATTCTACGCAATCACAGGACCCCATCATCAAAAACAGCTTTTAAATGTATACAAATTATAAAGCTGAACTATCAGCCACTCAGGGCTGGCTGACTCACCAGTCCTCACTTGTGAAATATCTTTAACCAACTCATTCCCATGTCCTTCATCCAATTATTTCCCAGGTAGAAAACTTTTGTATGAAATATTCTCACAATTCAAGACAAGAAAACAATCATTTGCATAACTTCAAAGATCTACTGAATTGTGACTTTTCAAAGGCCTATGTGTCATTAATCATTTCTGAATCAACTGGATGTCTGGAAATTGTGAAATTTCAAATATGTTCGCATACAACCTAGCTTTTTTCATTCAAAACTTATCAACCTTTAGAAAATAGGAATTCTTAACTAATGTTTTCTGCAACAGGCCATGACAAAACAATAATAAAGTACTGCAACAATATAGAAGTAAGCAGTCACTAGGTGGCAAATTCAAAGAATATTTGATGAGTATCCCACTGCACCGGCAGCCTTGTAACTCTTAGCTAGTGGCAACTTCTTTGTTGAAGAGATTACAGAAGCCATTAAATGCCAAAGGATTATATGGAAGAACTAATTAAAATAACTGTAAAATAAAAAGGGGTTAAGACATATTTAATCACAACTACTTAAAATATATGTAATACAACAAAAATAATCCAAGACATAATTTATATTTAATTATAAATAAGACCAAAATCTTCATGGTGCATGGAACCAGATACTTCTCAAACCATGACTATATATTTTCCTTACAGTGAAGGCAGACTAGTTACAAAAATCAGATAAAAGTTATAATCATGGTTATCCTATCTAAGCTTAGTTAGCCAAGTTAAAGTTTACTTTATGAAGCAATTACGGAATATGTTATTTTATCTATTTGAATATTCTACATAGATGAAGTTAGTTTTGGTTTCTTTAAGAATCAAACCTTTACATTTGACCATTTGATATCTTTAAAATGGTTTTAATTACATGGTAATACAACGTAATAAGACTGACTTTCATATTACATACATAATCTCTAATTATCAATTACACCTCATTTCTCCAACTCTCTTAAAGAGCGGATGCCTAACAAATTGAACATTTTAGTGAGCCAAGCGTCATCTGAGTGTTATTGTACTACTACTTATAACTCTTATCTTTCTAATGACAAACTTGTGTTTCTTACACTTCAGCAGTTTAGGTCTGATTAACCCTTTCTCAATATTGAATGATGACTAACTGGGAGCAAGAAGGCTAAATAGCAAAAAAATCAAAAACAGGACAAATTATCATGGAAACTATAAAAACAGAAATAAGGAGGTCTGGACTTTAAATCAACTGTCTTTAGCTTTTTTCAAGTAAGTCCTTTAAAAATCCAATGAAAGCTATATCCCATCTCCCAGAAAAACACAAGTACCTAAAAATTTGAATATAATTTCAGTGTGCTCATAGATTCCCTAAGCTTATCCATGTATTCAAGATTAAGAATCACTAATTTAAATGGATAACATTCCATTGAACAGAATCCTTAAGCAGTCATTGTTTGAAAG